CCCTACAGATGACTTGTAATTTTCCTAGATTGGCATTTAATTGACATTCTCTACCTCATTACTGAAGTTATTAATGAAAATACCGAGTAGCACAAACCCTTGACAGACTTTCCTGCAATCCCACTTGACAGCTTGGTGGTGGCCCACTGAGAACAATCTTAGTCTTTAGTTGAACAGATAAATAGGATTCAACCAAGACTTTGATCATGCTTGCTGGTACTGTTCAAAGTGGCTGATCCAAGCACAAAAACTAGAAAAGAATTACCAATGAGTAACAGCAGCAGATAAATTCTGATAGCGAAGATTAAAATGAACACCTCTTTGTGGCAGAGATGTCTAGGATCTCAGCAAAACGTTTTGCAAAGCTAAGCGTAGGAAGAAAAACCTTGAGGAAAAAATAACGCGACTTTTTTGTTTGGACAGGTGGACTTTTAGGGCATTGTATCAGGCACATACATTTTATCTGCCTCAGAATGCTTCTTGATTGAAAAGTTATGCACATCATGTTGGTGTATTTTATTACTCTCTAGATTCTATTTACAGTCAGAATTCCTTTCTATTGTCATATCAGGATCCAAGTAATTTTCTGATCAATCCTCCAAGCCAAACAAGACCATAATTTTCTGTAAGAAAAAGAAACTTCCCTGAACAAATCCAAATCTGAATCAGCAATACAAAAACTTCATCTTGCCTTTACTGCCCCGTAATTCAGCTAGCTGCATTCAGACAGGAGGGCAAAGAGTGAATGTTTCCTTCTGCCACTGTTTTTTCTGTCTGAAGTTGGTTGCCTTCATGAAATATCTGTACTCTACGTATCGCACATTTCTTTGACGAACTGATACAAGAGTACCCTGGAATGCTGAATATTACAAAGTTTCAAATTACTGCAGGTTTCTGTTCCTAATGCACAAAGAAAATTAAGAGACTGACTAACAGTGTGCCAGGCACGTGCTTGTTGAGCAATTATTCCCTACCACATATAATACCAAAAAACTTCTCATTTCTTTTTCAGAATGAACTTTGTATATCAGCCATCTGCCACTGACTCTATCCATCAGCTACTACTGAAGTACGGTTTCATCTTTCACTAAGGGATTAGCCCTTGCCATTCTCATCTGATATAGTCTTGCCCATCCATATATTTAAAACCTTATTTTTAAATGTCTCTTTCCTGGTTATAATGGAGATTATTATTCTCAGAGGTGATGAGGAGATGATCTGTATGACTGTGAGGGGAGCATGCCATTAAATCTTCCAATAAGCTCTGAAAAGGATATAAACTCTCTTTGTTGTGGGTGCAGTTGAATCTTTTCTGTTCCCTTCTTTCGCCAGGAAGATATGAGTGGCTGGAGTGTTTGGTTCTATATATAACTAGTTGATGTCAGCTGGATGCCAATTCCTTTGAAGAGGATCAGCCCCCAGTTTGTCTCGGTACTAGGTACCATGCAGATCCAAGCACAAGGGTAGAAACCATCCTGGACCAGGCAGGTCATCCCCATACATAACTAACTCCTGAAGCTTCAACTAAAGGGTTGAGATCGCTTTTATCTGCACAACAAAACAGTAGGGTAAGTGTATTGTTTCCTGAAATATTTTGACATTGTCTGTCCTACAAACTGTCATATAAAAGACATTTATGTAACCTCTTGACTCTGCAATTAAAAAGATGTTTTTTTTTTTTACTTAGAAATGCACTTTCTTTAAAGATGCCAGAGAATCTCATTTAGTTCTTCAAGTTCTTTATTAGATTAAGAAATGTCAAAATGTAACATTTCTGAAATCATAAACCAAGACGTAATTAAAATATTAGTTATGAATTTACATCTTTTTATATAATGCGTAGATGTGAGAAGGCCTAGACCACTGACACTGATCTTGCTACAGAATTTATGTAGCCAACTCAAAGTCCGTTCCTTCGAATCTTCTACCCACCAGAACATGTCCTAGCATCTGTCTGCAAGCAAGAACTGCCAGTGCATTTTGCGCAATTCGGAGTGCAGTATTTCTAAATTAGAAATAACTAACTTCACTATTCAGCCATTCTAACCAGGCTATTAGAAATTAAAGTCGGCTGAATTGTGCAAGCTGGCTCAACAATGTAAAAATGTGTTGTTTTTTTTCAGCAAGGAAAAATCGTATCAGAAAATCACAATGTTATCACATTCTGCCATGGTCAAAGAGAGGAAACAACAAGCATCAGCCATTATGGATGAAATACACAGCAATGGTATAGCGCTGAACCCAGCTTACTGTATATGCAATGTCCTCTAGCCCTCCCTAATATATTTTTTTAATCATAGAGTTTAACTCTCTTACAGCTTTGTCTCTGGGTGTTTTACCATAAATAATCTTGTGGGAGTATCATGCTGCCTATGGTAACTAATCCTTTTGTAGTTGCCTCTTTTCATTTGAAAGCTATTTTCAGATGAACAACTGCTGTGGAGGAATGAAGTAATCTAACAGCTGATGTACATTCTGCTAGGATAGCCTTTCAGAATATTCTTTGGGGTTAATAACATGACTTCATTCCATTTTAAAAGGCTATCATCTAAGAAACATTCTGATCTGTATCCTCTTCTTTTGCTCAGTTTCACTCTTTTTCATATGAATGATCAAAAATTTTGAAACAAATGTTCACATCTCTGTTCCTTTCTCTCAAACTTTATATTTGTAACTAACAAACTTTACTAGCATTTGGCAATTTTCTCTAATGCACAGCCACTGATTAATGTTATACGAAGAAATTTTACTTTTCTGTTGTTGCACTGATGGAAATGCAGATACTTATGAGAAGGCAGTTTGATTTTCCAAACCAAGTTCTTAAAATTATGATTCCAGTGTGACACCTTTAGAAGCAATTATCTCAGTTGGGAATACAAATCTGCTTGGCTTTCATTAGGTATGTGCTGGATGCTTTTGGAGATCTTTCCAGCCCTCCCCGGGAAGCCTTTTTTACCATCTATGTCAAAGATCAATGTTTTAAAAGTAATAATCACCCCACAAGCCTCACTGAAAAAATAGGGAGCTCTGCTAATATTTAGAATTTATGAAAATTATACCACTCACAGAGGATAAAACACTAAACGTTAAATGCCAGTATTGAAAATCCTTCTTGTTGGCTTTTGCTTCAAAGAATTTGGGGATGGTTTCTGTACTTACTTACTGACCATTGATTACAGGAAGAGTAGGGCAAGAAACATGAGGTTTTTAGGAAAAAAAGTAATGAATTTCAGTGCCTGGTCCTAGTCCTTCTGATATTTCCATATTTTTTTCTGTAATTTTTATTCCTAAGCAAGTACCTTTTTCCTCCCTCCATTCTGCACTGAACACACGCTTAAGTCTAAAAGCCAGTCTGTCTTTACAGATTTCATCACAACTCCACTTTTTTTTGGGTATTGTAAACCCAAACTATATGTGCCTGAAGTAGCCTGAAATAGCCTATAAGCTCTTCAGGGTGATAAAAAAAAAGGTCTTTCATATGTTTGTTTGGAACCAAGCATTTCATAGCCTATAAGCTCTTCAGGGTGATAAAAAAAAGGTCTTTCATATATTTGTTTGGAACCAAGCATTTCACATGATAAATGTTGCTACTATTCATAGCAACACTAATAAATCTACCACACAGTCCTTGAAATCATTGGCGTTATTGGATAATCTGTGCTGATGCTTGGCATTTGCCTCACATAATCTGTCCTTTTTATTATTTACGCATTATCAGATTTGCTGTCAGGTTTAGATTCATATACATAGATATGACAGTTTATCCTACAAGATATGCTGTAGTATGTGGTGACTGAAGGCAATTCTAACTCTTTCAGTGTACCTTCTGCTTTTGCATCTTCTTTGGATGCCTAGAAAATTTAAAAGTTGAAAAAAAATATGAAATTTCATGAAATGGGTGTGGTAAGAGTCTGAAATTTGTAACTGTACAAGCTCAGTGAAACCAGTTAACAAACAGAGGGATAATCAAAGCTGCAATCACAGAAAGTATACACTAGTTCTTTGGGATGAAATCTGAACAATTCTTGGAAAAATCAAGGAGAAATCTCGTTTTTAAATGAATAAATTCAGGTCTATTTATTGTTGACATTTTAATTTTCCCCTAATTGTTAATTCAACAAGCTTAACCTGAGATCTGGAGGGTGAACTGCTTCCTTTCTGGGGTTTGTGTCGCAATTAGTAATGAAGGTCCTGCACCTGGTAATAACATAAAAATTAAATGTACTGTTTCAGCCAGTCTCACAGACCTGTGGAACTCCCCACTGTTAACAGAGGCAAACAGTAACCTGTTTATACAGTAACAGTATACTGCAAGCCCCGGTAGCTTGGAAGGACACGCAGAAAGCATACCTCCTGCATTTTTATTTCAGCCTCTTTTTATTATAATGCTCTCAGGTAAACAGTGAATCTCAAATTCCTTGTTAAAAGATATTCATAGTAGAAACAGTTGTTGATAAGATACAAAACCAGCCAAGTTTTTATCAGTGTCTTAGAGATTACCAATCTCTGGGCAAGACCAGTAATGACTGAAAGTCCACATCTCCTGTTGGTCTGTGGGACACGACTGTGTTTTAGAGAAGTTCAACAAGTCATAAAATGCTGCAGGATTAGACACTGACTGTAAACTCTCTTACGGTCTCAGAAGAGAGACTGTAGTAGTAAATCAGCGTGTGGTTGTAGTGCCCTCCCCAACCCCTTGGTTTTTCACTGGCAGACTTGGACTAATCATAACACTTCTAAGGCTACTTGGTGGAGGTAACCATGTATGTAAATACCTATGTTTAAAGAAACCCTTGGATTTTATAAGGTTAGCCTTCAATTACACTTAAATCTCACCTCCTGTTCTATACTATTTCTTAAATGCATTCTTCAGTTGCTACACGATTAACTATCTTTCATGATACAGTTTAAAAATCTTATTTCTAATACTACAACAAACATACTATCTAATATTCACTATTAAAATTTATAATCCAGATTAAGGTATTTAGAAGATTGTAAACTGGAGGATTAAAGGAGATTAGGCGGTGAATGCAGGAGGAACTATATAAATCATATTTAAATACAGTCTGTTATGATTTTAAGCACAGGACAGGAAGGACTTGGCAGGAACAAATTAAGAAATGAAGCTAAAAGTTAAGATTAAGGTTAAACAATGAATTAAACTTCCAGTATTAATTTACAATGTTCATTTATGACATTGCTGTTTTTTTTCTATCATCCTCTAAATGTCCTCCTTTTCTCATTCTTCATCACCTTTTCTGCACTGACACTGAAACGATCCCTAGACACATCATAAAACTGGACAGATGATTAGATTTTACTTGGCAAGAGATTCAAATGAACTTCACACTTATTTTTTGGGATGCTGCCCGGATACACAACTGTGGGTTACAAAGTACCTTGAAGCCTTCAGTCAACATTAACAAGAACAGTACATATGCAAGGGAACAGCAAGGCCCAAAATAGTTAACATCCAGCGTGTCCCAGAAGAATACTGAGTGGTTTGGACAGAGATCTGCAAGCACCTTGACACCCCAGTCTCTGAAGATGTACATCCTACCCACTCTGTGTACAATGAAGAAAAGCTTTTTCTACGTGAAACTGTTGCTGATTTGAGGGCTAAATTTCTTACTCCTTACTAATAAAAAAACATCCAACAGTCCATACCCCTGGGTAATCTTGAGAAATGACAAAATCAAAACATGACTTGTGGGTCTAAATTTCAGGCCGCAGGCCAATAACCAGTGCACTTATCTCAATGACAGAGCCAAAACCCCGCTGCTATCAGTCACTGATATGGCTACACTGGGCAAGCTGAGTCATTTTCTTCCATGTTAAGAACCCTCTGTTTTGTAGTTACCTCTTAAATAACAGGAGGGTGTTAGGATTCTTTGCGCATATTGATCCAAAGCAGAAGTACACGCTCCAGCTCACACTACAATTAGCCTGCTCTTACTCCAGCTAAATCTATTGCAAACATTCAATTGGAATCAGTATGAACAGAAGTGATGCACTCCAGGGCCCACAAACTTGTTTGATTTACTACATGGAAAACTCTTTTCTATACAGCTTCGGCTAAATATTTAATATATCTGTCTTAATTAAGTCTTCCTAAACGTCAGCCAATCACACTGTTTTTCAAACATCAAGTTACTAGGAGACATGTGCCATGTTGAACATGTCATTTACTCAAAATGAAACTCTGCATATGCAATGTTAACTTTCTCATTCCGTACCTTCTGCAGTTAACTAATTTGTAATGTTTATTTTAAACCGGGCTTCCTGTGCACTTACTCTGGAAGCATGATGCAGTATCTTACAAGTAATCTGCTTTCATTCATTTTAATGCCTTAAAATATCTGTCAAAGTTCAGAACTTTAAATCCTGTAGACCACAAGAATATGTGAAAAAATAGAATGTTTTGTTATTAAAGAAATAACAGAATGTGACTTTGAATAAGCGGATCAAAGAAACATACTACACCATTGATATAATCCTCAAAGCACACTGCTTCTTCCTATTTTTCTTCCTGAAGCTTATGAACTGAGGAGAGCAATTTCAATTAATAAAACGATAAATATTAAAGTAAGTGCAATAGGAATTATTTTCTTTAAAATTCTGTTTCACTCTGTGATCCAATTATTGTTATATTTGTTAAATTCTACAACGTTCTAAGCAGAAATAAATTAGTAGAAAATGGTTTGTTGGGTGCTGAAGTTACTGTATTCTAAGGTTTAAGCTTTATCTATAGGTTGAGGACATCTAGGGAGAGAGTTCAGTCACTAAGCAACAGCTTGCTCATTGTCACCAGCATCCCAGTTTCCAGAACATTACCACGAAGATGACCAGTAGAGTTGCTGATATTCAGAGTTCTCCATTTACAGTCCCAGTTGATCTCCCCTTCCCCTGCTTATGCATTTTTATTTTCAAATCACCCAGGAGGTCACTAAAGACAAAGAAGGAATTTTTCCCAAGCAGTCAATACAGTAATATTGCATCTAGTAATTCAGTTTCCTCTTAGAAAGAACTAAAAATAAAATCTTCTAAATGTATCATTTCATAGAAGCATGAGCTTTATTTTGGAAGCTTCTTTCAATATAGTTAAAAATATGTTATTACAGATTTTCTAATGCAAGTACAAAACATGTCCCGAATTTTAAAAGCAGGCAGAATATTAACGAATAACTGAAAATAAAATGTTTATAAGCAATAAGAAACTGGTAGGTATGTTTAAAAAGGGTTACCTGCTAATCTATCCAACACAGGACACACAAAGCTAACTGAAGGTTTAACGTGGGAAGACTGGGATCAGATGGAGTTTTGTTCCTGGTTTCAGCAGAAGCCAGTTTTTATCTGTCTGCTATTAAGAGAGTGTGTAGGAATTATAGATCTGATTTTGATAACAGCTGGATGTCATTCAACTGAAGTAAATTTGGAGCTTGAGGTGCTTAGCATCTCCAAAAAAACAGGTTTGTGCTTTTCCACACTCTGCTCCAAAATTTTGGAAGAATGATTAATTTCACTAACACTGTATGAAGCTATGTTATGTGCTAGATTAGTCTGCATTAACATGTTGTTGGATTTCAGGTGTAGGGTATGCATTATCAGGCATTTAAGAAAAACCAAGGTATGTATTTATCCATTGTATTGCAGTTTCACCCACCTTAAACCTTGGAAAAAAGGTCAGCACTCCCAGAGATATCATGGTAGAGGAACTATCGACACTCAGCAACAGAGGTGCAAGACTCTTCAAGAGACGTCAGCGGAGATCTGACAAATATACATACGAAAATTATCATTATGTAGCAAACAAGCCAAGAAATGTAAGTATTTTGTAATAACTTATTAATGAAACTCAATAAGACCAGCTTGGGTTCCCTTGGTGCTCATGATACACATTGTGAATGATTTATTTGTCGTTTCAGGACGAATGAAAGCAAAATTCTGTACTAGAATAAGGCTAACATGAAGTGAACCATTTGTATTTTATTGAGCTCCTACAGAGAAAAAACCTAAAAGCCTTAGTGTTTAAGAACATCAGATTCAAATCATTCTCATTCAAATTTGATTCAGGCTACTAGTGATGTTATCCGGTAACAATTGCTCATTGACTACTAAAAATTAACTAGTTAATGATATACAAAAGGCTGTAAGAAATAAGTCTGTTTCATGCAACCAGCAAGTGTTTTTATTAAAATAAGTTGGTGGTCTGAACATGGTTCCCAGGCAGCAAAATGACTCTCACAACTGGCACTAATACACTTCTGGCCTGCCTATCGTAACAAGGAGAAAAAGAATGGAGCTTGTCACTGAAAGACAATTATTCTTCGAACCAGTCCTTGAGGAACTGGGTTAAAGCATTACTGATACCTGGGAATCCTCATGGCAGCAACTAAACACACCTGGCGCTTGTCTCATCTGTGGCCTTTGCAAAATATTTAACCCTTTTGTTTAACCTCTGGAAATAGAGACAACAACATTCATAAATTTGACCTAACTCTCCCGTGTGTTGCAAGGTTTAATTATCTCAACATGAATACTCTATGCCCAGTCTAATACAACACACAAGCAGCCCCTCTAATTCCAGTATTGCATTATTTTCTTCTTCACAGTTAAGTGCATGCATCCCCACTGATTTCGGATACAAAGGTATGCCACTGAAGAAGCAGAATTTGTCCTAGTACTTTCAAGCTGCTGTGGAGATTAAAAGAAATACACGCTACAAAAGTTAATTAGTGTTAATTAACCCAAGAAATATTTCTTGTAGAATAGCAATTGTGTTTCCCTGAAGCTTTTACAACTGATCATTGCATAGGTGGTGCTATGATTGTGTTGGCACCCAACCCCTACAGAATCCATACAAAGACTTTGACTCAATTCTTTAATCTTCACTTGGGATAAGAAAAAGAGTAACTACATGTAATGTATTGTTGTGATGTAAGCTAAAGTTTGTATCGGTACAAATAGGGAACTATTGCAATTTACCGTTGTCCATGCTAACCAAAATGTTGAGGGATCTCACAACAATCAGAGAGGTGAGTATTGGAGCTGAGTTCAATATTTCCAATATCACAGCTGAAATCCCTAAAATATTTTTGTTCCCTTTGAAGGAATTCTCTATCCTTTGTTGACCGTAAAGGTAATTCTGTGGCCTTTACATTTCCCATAGAAAAAATTAACTTTACTTTGGAAGAAAAATATGTCTTATTATCCTGTGTCATAGAATAAAGATTTTTACTTTTTTTTTTATGGTGCAGATATTTCAAACTTCTTTGGTCACTCACTCACAACAGAAATTAAATTACATGGGGATAAAATGGGATCATGTTAGAGTTTTGATAAATCTGCCTTTTAAAAATAAATCTGCACAGAAGAAAGCCAATATAAAAAATTTGAATGTCTTTTCACACCCAAAACTATTATTAGAACACTATTATTTAGAAGCCCATCTACGAATACTGTCCCTCCAATTTCTCCCTCTATTATTAGAAGCTACACAGATAAATTCTGAGCACAGCACCATCAGTCTCATCAGAATTTCTGTATCCATTCCTCGCTTTTGCTACTAAGTATGACAGATCAGTTCCCCTCTAGTTTACTTCTCACAACACCATATAAAGCACACATGCTATACAGTGAGTACGACATTCTGACATGTGAACAAAATGATGCCTCTTTGGTTTCTGTTCCTGTTCCTTAAATGTCTATTTAGTTACCACTGGTGCTGTCTTCATCATCTTTGTGATTCTGCCTGCCAAAATTAATCTTTCTAGCAAATTTCATGGTGGCTAGAAAACATTCTGCCTTGATCTTTTTTTTTGTTTTAAGTTTAAACAAGTATTATTTGCTTGCTTTCCTACTTTAAGAAACTCTTACTCTAAAACAGTCTATATTTAAATTGCTTTTAGCCTATGTGTCATAGCTAAAATAAGATACTGACTTCTTATGAGACTCTAATTCTCTATTTATGCAACAATGATTAAGCCTTTGGATGTTTCCTTAGAGCAAATGACCTGATAGGAAGGTGGAAAATAACAGCATATCATGAATCTCCAGAAAGTGACCTGCACTGAAGTTCTTGTTTCTATTACAAAGAAAGGAAAATAAAATCCCTAACAAAAGCGATTTAACAAATGCAGTGAATTTTTAACTGATATGGGAAGAGACACTTCAGTGCTTTGAAACTCAGATGGCTCAAACTTGCCAGATTTCTTGAACTTTTGGGTAGCAAGGGTGCTCTATCTGGCACATAACAGCTTCTAGTGTCTATTGATCGAGGGGACACATTTTATGGGCCTCCCTGCCAAAGTGACCAGGTCTACTCTTTGCTGTGAACCACACAGCCCACATGCACAGGTAGATGCTATGGTGATCGGTGTAAGCAGCAGATGGGATGAACTCTCTCCGTAGACTGTGTACCAATATTACAATATCCCAATCTGAGGAAAAGGTCAGACAACTCAGCTGGATGGTTATAAGGCTTTAGGAGTCTTGTTGACCTAGTACACACCACCTCCGCTCCTTTCAGTAAAGCATTCACACAGCTGTAATACAGACATTTAAAATCGTGCTGGGATATCACTATTAACACCGAAGAATTCATCATTTTTGCCTACATAGCCAATGTAAGGGAGTTGTGAAACTGTTCCGTCTTCTGGCTAAGAGCCAGAAAATCCTGGGGAGTGCTACAGGGCACCCAGCAGCAGGACAGTATGCCTCCGGATAGTACACCCTGGGTCTCAGATCTGGGCTGTAAACTGGAGTATCACTCCACCTCTCAACAGAGAATCACAGAGGCTTTTTTAGCCTGTGCTGTCAATGATGCTTCTGTTTGAATGCAGCGCGGAGAGCCCATACAGAGTGTTAAAATGGACGGCCTCAGTGTGGAAGGAATTCCCCAGCATGCCCCGATGACACCTCCTAATACACCTGATCCCCGGAGCCCACCACACCCTGACAACATCGCCCCAGGTAATACATGAGTTTACAGACATTAAATATATTTAGTTCTCATTCCACAGCAGAGGAAGGATCTCTTTATAAAACAGTTTCTTCAACAAGAATTTGTTAATGGACTTACTATTAGAAATGGATCAGTTTGAGTCTGATAACTCATCAGAATCTCCCACAGAAATGTAAAGTGGTGCTCTTCAGTTGTTTCTGTTCATTTTTAAAGATTTCATATGCCTTTTGTACTACTTCTCCCTAAACTGAAAACATACACTAATATCAAGACAGGTTGCTCCTATATGTACTAGTCTTATAAACATTGAGAAACAGATCCTTAGATTTAAAAGCAGATTAACATACTGATTTTGCTTTACCAAACTTTTGTTTCTAATATGCAACACTGCTCAACAGTCTGAAAGTTATCCATTGCAGTGTAATTACCCATAAACATAAATCTGAAGTCACTAAGTTTTGCTAGAAACCTTTACAGAGGAGTAACTTCAAAAGGAATTTGCCTCTGGGTGCATAAACTGTTGTTTTGTGAGTCCTCAACTGTGAGGGTACTGTTGTCTTTATTTAAAGCAGTGAGCTACAAGAAGGCCTTATTTTGTATTCTTTCAAGACTAGAGAAGGCTAATCTGTTTTAATTAATTTATTCAGTGATATAGCCCTTCTTCCTGTTTATGAATTATCCATGAGCAGACTGTGGTTTTCACAAATTCATTCTTTGTTCGGAATTACTCAATGCATGTTTTGTGCAGACCTTTTCCAGTCTATGTAAACTAGGTCAATGCTACTCTGTTAGTGACTGCTAAGATTCTGTGCATCCATTGGTCAAATACAATGCAGAGAGAGGTAATTTCCATTGCTAAGACATGATAGAAATCTTCAAGCCTTTAGGCAAAAAAAGGTCTGGCAAAAGGAGTAGATATTAAACAACAGGTTTTTTTTAAGCTTATAGAAAGAAACAGCATTAATTTTAAGAGCTAGATGCAGTGAGAGGGTAAAAGGGTAGAATAGATTTTCCTTGGTTTTCAAATAAATAGTGTAACTCATATAATTGGATTATCCATTGCTGGTTTTAATTCTTCAAATTGTCTGGCTTTCCACTCCCCGCCCCTATTTATTCCTGCCGTATTGTACTTGGCTTTAGAAGAAATCACACTGAATATGGAGTTTATTTATTTAGTAAAATTCTGATCAGAGCTTGATCCTCAGATGATTATGCAGGGAAAACAACTGATTCTTCACTTTTTCAGATGGCAAAAAGGACCAGAGAACTAAGTAGGTAGGACATTTTAAAGCATCTAAGGCAGAGGCAAAGAAAAAAACTCCACTATAATGGCTGTTACCTTAATTCATTTTAATACTTTTGGAAAATTTCACTCAAAGACTATAGAATTACCTTATTTTTAACCAAATGGCTGTTTTAAAAATCTTTTTGTCAATTCAGTCCATGGGCTGTGTAGTTATAGTCTGGTTTCAAACACATACTCATAATGATAGAAACAAATTTATGTAAAACTAAAATAAACTTAGCCTCAAAAGAGGGTGGAGTACTTTGGAGCAGTTATCTAAAAGGCTACAAATTCCCTCTGTCAGCTTTCTGTTTCTGTGTAGGTTTGGCCAGGTGACTTGATCCAATCGTTCATTTTACCTAACTGTGAAATAATGGGATCTTACTTCCTAATTACATGGATAGTGGTAATGAAGCAGAAAACTCAAAGTATTATTACAACAGTTTTGCCTTGATCACCTTGCAGGATATTCTGGACCACTGAAAGAAATTCCTCCTGAAAAGTTCAACACTACTTCTGTGCCAAAGTATTACCAGTCTCCCTGGATAGAAGCCATTAGGGATGACCCAGAGCTGCTGGAAGCTTTATATCCTAAGCTTTTTAAACCTGAAGCAAAGCCAGAACTGCCTGACTACAGGAGCTTTAACAGGTAATTCTGAATGGACACTGAATTTTACAGTGCAGAGAAAAATTACTATGAAATGAAATATTTCCATCAGCTGTAAAAAAACCCTACCAGCTGTGTTTGCAAGTATAAGCATAAACATGTACACAGACTACAAGTGGCAAACAAGAGCATAAGGGAGGAACCTAGTCTCTCTCTAAAGTACGGATCCGAAATTAAATTGTAGATCCAGGAATGCAAGACGAATTGTTGAAAATTTTGAAAGAAAGAAGGAAATTATTAGAATCCAGTGTACTCAATAAATGGGAAACATGGGCTATAGCAATGCTTCAAACTCCTTTCAGTATTTCTGTTGTTAACTCCAGTAGGAATGGAATTGTAAGATCTAGCAGGGAAACTCTCAGTCAAAACTTTCTTTGTAAGCTGTATAATGCAAACCAGCCTATTTTTCTTCTAATATAACACATGGTTTGTTTCTTATGTAATGATAGAACAATGAACTTTATCCCTCAGCCAATCCCTCACACCAAATAGTTAGCAGATAGCATATTTTATTGCAGTTAACATTTTTTATATCTTTGACAACCTTCAGTAACAAATTAACACAGAAAATATTACAAGCAGACTTAAAAAACATTTAAAGTAGAACGGGATCTGAGAGTGAAGTTATTTACATAGTAACTAGTCTGAGGCTTTCAGTAGAACCTCTAAATATATGGACAATATTGAGGTTTGAACTATTTTGAAAGTTTTAAAACACATTCTTACTTATGTCTTTTGCTTTCATTCATACCATTCTCACTATCTTTATTTATTGAACTTATGGACACTTTTTCTCTAAATAACCCCTGCTGAGTTCCAGACAGCTGAGCCAAACCAAAAACCCTTCCTCAAAACCCCAGACAGCAATCTATTGAAAAAGAAAATAACTCATGGCAATACAAACTTAGAAAAAAATAACACAAACATCACTTGTGTTCCTGCAGTTGAGGTGGGCCTCAACTATGAGTGCAAAGACTAAAAAATTACACAATTCAACATCAAAACTGGCACTGCAGACACTACACTAACTCTGATTTCATAACAGCCATATACATCACCATGTTAATAATTAAGTCTGTGTGTCATACTCTTCTCAGCAGACAAAACAGCAAATACAAGCCCAAGAGACGTGCCACAGCTGCTAACACTGGAACAGTAACAGCACAGTTTATGTACTATGGTTATTAAAAAACCACACAAACAGCCCAACAACAATAAAAAAAAGCCAAAGATACATATACATGGAATAGAGACAGGATCAGTTCTCTCTCTTACAAGAGAGATTCTGAATCCATCATGCGAGTCGTTACTGGGAAAGACAGGATCAGACAGGGCCCCATTAATAGGGATTAGTGTCTTGAGATGGTATATGATGGCTTCTTTGTGGCTTTTTAGCTGCTCTGTGGTCTCATAGTCTGTTAGTTGTCCTCTCCAATAACTGTTCGGATTTCTTTCTATGAGGATTTTCTCTATGTATGACACGGCAGAACTGTGGCTCACTACAGTCCGAATTTCTTGAACGTATGTGCATTCACATAAGGGAAAGGTCAATATTCTCTCTTGTTACTGCCATAAAAACCTAAAACCACGCACATAAATCCAGATCCAAACTATGAAATTGGCAAATTCAAAACACGAGGCATGCAAATATAATCCACTACAACTCTCCTCCTCATGGAAAAAATCCACATCCAAAAGAAAATAAAAGGATGCCTGGTGGACCTAGAAGATCTGTTACATACAGCACACTCAGGTTTATGTTTTCTAGCAAGAAGGATTAGATCCAAAAAGGAATTGAGAATTTGCTAAATTGAAATTCAAGATACTAACCTCTTGGAGAGGATTTTACAGCCATTATTTAGGTGTCTACACTCCTAAAAATACACAAGAGAGTGGTGTGTCTGACTGGGGGATTCAAAATGGACAGTACATTGCATGTCAAGGTAACCAACAGAAAACATTATAGAGAAGGCTAAATGTAACTTAAATTTCTCTTTGCTAAGGCCAACAGCACCTAATTCTGTCTGCCTGTCTTCAGGTCAAGGCTAGATTAAAGTCTTCCTTTCCAAAAACAGAGGAGGGGTCACATGTATTCTTTTAAAATTTGTATAGACAATAAGGTTCATTTCTTTGGAAAAAGCATTTTCCTAGAATGTGGCCAGCCTGGATTTATTTCTACAGGAAGGTCAAACCCTGAGAAGAGGTGTAACAATCTGGCTTCTGGCTCTTCCACAGAAGAGGTGGGAACACTCTTCACTTCCCTTATTAAGACCTGTGCCATAGCACAGAAAATAATAAGCCTCTTTGGGCTAGAGGGAGTAAACATCTTTTCTCCAGCTGAACAATTAAGACACTTGGGGAAAGAGAAACCTGGGCCTACATCTGAGTTCCCATGTCTTTCAGTGCACTTTCTTCAATTACTGCTTACAGTAAACTAAACAAACAGATTTAGAAGCAGAAAACAGGACCTGCACTTCTCTGCTATTAGTTGTGTGGCCTGGTGTTTAGGCTAAGAGTCCTACTCTGTAATTTTTTATTTCTGGGTAGCATTTTTGCTGGAATACTGTGAGCAGTGAGCTCCACTCTTATGAAGAGATGCCCTCAGGCTGAAGACAATCCCAATTTCTTGCAGAATAGCTCTGGTCACAAACATACTATTATTTGATACAGAGGTTCAACAATAACAGCCATGGATTTTGAGTGAAAGTGCCTTGATGTGCTACTTTGCTCAAAGCTTGCTGCAGTAGCATATTATGTGTGTTTTCAAGTATGGACGTTTAGGCAAAAGACTATTAATTAGAGAATCACATATGGGCTTTGGTGTAAGATGGGTGCAGCTGCCAGTATAGCCAAGATAAAGGCAAATCTGAGCATTTGTGTAAGGAAAATGTTAGGCATCTCAGGAATTTCACAGCCTATGGGCTTTGCACATAAGGTGAGGTATCTCTTTGGACTTCTGTGCCCAGATCCTACTAAGTCATTCTGTGCATCTAGGTCACAGCATCCTTGTCTTCTTTAATTGCAGTCTTGGAGAGAAAGCAAATGATACTGTATTAAACATCTAGAGTGCAATATAATGGCACCATTTTGTTATCAGTGAGGGTATCAGTCACAGCTTTCTATCACGCTTCATCATTCAATAAAGTGCCATTACGTTTATTCTCCTGCAAAACACTGGTACAGTCATCATGAGTCAGGAAGGGATGTGGTTAACAGAAAGTGTGATGCACAGGACTCCCCAAGGAAATGGGCCTGAGATTCTTCCCAGTTTATTCAGTGGTATCTGCTAAAATGGCACTCAGACTTTACAGGCCATAGGCAGGTTCCTTTCAGCTTTGCTTCTTACACAACAAAATGTAAAAGCAACACAACTTCGGCAGCTAGGGACATCCAATGTGTTGAAACAGATGCACACACACAGGGTTTAACAGTACATTCAGCACTAAACAGCATTCAGACTTTTTTTCTACTGCCGGCAATGAAGAGGCGACTCTGAGCCCTGTAGCAGTGCAATTTTTGTAACAGCAGCAGAATCAGAACTAAGGAATTCATAGAGGCATTAGTCGGGGTCTAGTACACATTTCATGCTGCAGGGATCTTGTGATGCTGGCAGGTCAATGAAGGAAGAAGTCGTGGCAGAAAATGTCAAGCACGTTTGCCTTGTGAGGCAGGGCTTTCTGTGAGACAGCCAGTAACGGTTCAACAGCACACAGCACTAGACAGAATGCAGGACCAGAGAAATTGGATTCTGAGGATCTCTGAATAGACCGTTCAGACGAGCTACCCTTCTTCCTCCTGCATGAAAATGAATCTGTGCTAGCAGACAAATGCTGCAGAACAGAGCCACACAATCTGATTTCTCTTGGAGATTAATTCCTATTAGGATTGAAGAACTATTTACTGGTGAAAAATTTTCTAGCCTCTTTTACCAGTGTGGAAGCACCTAGTAATCATCTGTGGGAAAGACAGCATGAATCTACATTTGTTCAGGAGTTTGTAATATTAGTTAAATTAGTACCTTTATTCCATCTGCTTTCTTGAAGCTGGATAAACTGTCAAAGGTAGAGTTATGAGTAACATACAAAGCACTACATCTCACTCACATAAGACAAGCAAGTCTGACTAGTTCTACCTCCCCTACCAGATAAATTCTTCCTCAGCTTTCTCAACTCCCAAAGACTACTGTTTCAAAAACACTACAGGAATCAAGTCCATCTGGACTGGACTCTGTTTTTATTGGCTAATGGATTCTGAACTCCATAGTAAAAATACTGAGATCCAGAGCCTCAAACAAGTTTTGGGTGCTAACTTGAAGTGATGTGAGATTAGTGGAAACTGGGTGCTTAGCCAGTTTCTTAGCACCTAAATACCTCTGTGGAATTGGCATTAGCTCTTGCACTAAGCTACCGTGAAGCTCTGAGCATTTTGCAAGGTCAAGTTCTTTGCTCCTATGTCTCCTTTTCGCACAGAATTAACAATGAGCAGAATGTACTAAGAATGACAATCCAGTTTTAAAATGTGAAACTCACATTTTTTGTAATTATTTAATTGAAGGTGCTAATCCAGTACAGCTAAAACTTTTATTCGGACTTTCCCAAATGATCAACTACAAGTAGTTTCCTATGTTGAGATAATATAATGTTCAATAAGAAAGACTGCAGGAAAAAAAAAAAAGAAGCCCTGTTAAAAATAAACACGGTTGTGCCTGCTATTATTAAACCATGCACCTACTTTTTAGGAATATGCAAAGTTAATACTAAACAATCTCTTACACTTCCTGGTGCCACTTCTTATGGCTCTGAACCAGCATTTCCACTCCTATTATGAGCAATGACTACTGGAATTTTTTACACATGAGTTTTAGGCTTCTGCACAATGAATCAGAGCTCAAGTGATACAGTCGATGTGCACACAACACAGGTCGTTACAACACCATGCTGTCAGACAGGTTATTGCTCACAAAAATATACTGCTGCTATAGAGGAAAATTAACATGTATTAGCCAATTACTGTACTCTCCTTTATGTCACTCATCATGTGCTTCTG